GCAAGTAGGCAATTGCTGCTGATGTTTCTCTGCAGTGACAGTCTGAATGTGCAGAGAGTATTTCACAGTGTGCCACCTGTGCCTGTGATCAGTCATTGTGATAAACTCAGCTTTCTGCAGAGAACTTTTGTAATAAGTTTCAAAATCTCTTCGAGATCTGTATTTAATGCCTGGCCTTTGCTAATGGAGAAGGGAGCCAGGAGGCCAAGTGCTCAGGCAGGGCTGGCAGGCTGCCGGCTTGGCAGGCTGAGCTGGGCACAGCTGGCTCCTCTGCCATCTCACAGACCTGCCTGCTCTGTGCTGGCTCTGGGATCTCTCCTGTTCCACTGTGCTTCCTTTGGCTGTTGAACCACCCTGAAATTCTGCACAGAAACTCCTGTGCCAGCTCAGTAAGCCAGGCTGCAGCTCTGCCTGGGCACACCCTCCCTCTCCCCTGAGATGGCTTTCTGCCCTGCTAAAGGACTTCACCACTTTTGTCCTCTTCCTAGGCTCAGTTTTGCTCTCAGGACCTTTCAGTCCATCTCTAAAGCTGGCTTGAATCCTCTCACTGTAGCTTTCTGTCTGCTCCCTCCCTCTTGCATTTATACAGAAACAGGGTAGAAGCCATCAAAGTCCCCCAAACTGATGCCAGCCCTTCAATAAAGTTGTAACCAATGTATTGAAACATCTTGGTTTTTAATGGACAGGGAAGAAAACCATGGGAACGTGCCTTGAATTACATTATGGCTTGCAGGCTAAATTTTATAATGACTTTATCGTTAAAATACTATTTGTTTTTTCCTTCAGAAATGTTTGCATTAATAATGAGGAGCTCAACTTAGAGCTGATTTACAGGCGAGATTTAATTTTTAATCAAAATTACTTAAAGCTAATTTTAATCGCAGTTTCAACCACCAAAATCTTTGACTTAAACAGCTCATATTAAATTTCATTATAAATATACAGATTTTCAGTGAATTTATTGAAGCAAACAAGATTCCAATTGAATAATAACCATTAAAGCATGCTAGCTTGCAACTAGCCAAACCTTTCGTCAAAAACATTATTTAAGTGTTGTTTTATTTCACTAACTCTTTATTCAGCTAGCTAGTGTAATATATTCCTACACAGTCATGCAAATTCTTGACTTTTATTTAAAGAACAGTGAAAAACATATTCTGACTTGGTAAGAGTTTCACTGTCATAGAGGAATTTATAAGCAATTAAAATATGTATATCTGTCATTAAGACAAATAATGTTCAAGATGTTATATATTGGGAAGAATTCTTGAAGTGTGCTTGTAAGTTTGAAAACAGTTTAGCTAAAATGCCAAATCCTTTGAGATTTTTTGGAACAGAGGATTTTTCCCACTCAAAAAAGAGAAAAAGCTTAAATGTTTACTCAAGAGTGGTATTGGAAAATGCAGTTCATAGTCCATTAGTTTGTGATCTTTGTGGCTGCTATTGGTTGAAATGAGGTAATTAAATAAGTTGAAATGAGAGAAAGAACATTTTAGACAAGGGTATGTTTTTGGCACTTGACAAGTTTTGATGTATTTGCCTGCAAGTAAAAGAGCAAGCTGTTAGCTCGACTCACCTGTAGAATATGCAGTATGTGATCACTGCTGGAGATCTGCAGGAGGGGATAGGAAACAGCAAGTGGTGTGGAACAGGTGAATGGAGATTGTCTGCTGCCCTTTCTCATAGAAAAAACCCCAAGAACTCTCTCTCTTGGGAGAGCCAATTTCAAAGCAAAATAAGGCAATTCTTTTTTAAGTGAGTAGCACAACAGGGGAGCTCTCTGCTGCAGACTTTGGATGACTTTCTTGCCTTTTTAAGTCTGGACTGACAAGTTTAGCTGTTTTTCTACTCACTTTGAACAGTATTTTGCCTGAATACTCAAATCCTTGTGTACTTAATAAACAGATCTGAAATATGCAATATTTAAGGATTATTTTAATAAAGGGTTATATTTAAGGGTTATTTTTTTCTTTTTAAGTTTAAACCTGCCCTGATTAAGGTAAACATCTCTGATCTGACTGCAGAAGAGAAGACCTGGAGAAGAAAGTCCTGCCAGGACGTGTCCCGTGCCAGGAACTATGGAATATCCTATCCCTGTGCCTGCTGTGGACTGGGGCAGGACCACTGAGGATTCAGCTGCATAGCTCTGTCCCAGCTGTACAGCTCCCCTGAGACCAGGCTCGTTCTGCTGGGAGGACTTCAGATAAAGGTGTGAAGAAAACCTTGCACTGTCTGGAGGCCCCTGGTGTGTGAGTGCTTTTTCACCCAGGTTGGTGCAGACAGCCACGTGCTGCATCTCCACTTCAAAGGACTGGGATGTAAACTTGCTCCAGTTCAGCTTCTGCTTTGGTGCAGCTCCCATTTGGAAATCTTGAGTCTAACCTGCGACTGAGACCTCAGCTGGATGCTTTTCTACTCCCTCTCATCTCACCTCAATACCTCAAGACATCTCTTTCAAAATCATTTGTTGTTTGAGCTCTGCTGTGTGACAGTAAGTGTTTGTAGTGTAATTATTTCAGTGGAGAATTATGGATGTGTGAATGGTCTTTTTCGTTGGTTACTACTTCAAAAGAGGATGGGACCTCATTAAGCTGAAGTATTTAGAATAAATTCATAGTTGATATTTTGGATTTCTTTAAGCTTTTAAACAGATGAGGTGCAAAAAGCATCTGTAGATTTCTTTACTGTCCTGTCACTGCATGCAAGAGATTCATCTGTTGAGATGATTACACAGTAAGATACAACATGTTCAGAAAACCTTCCCTGTAATTTTCACAGTTTTGGCTTTTGGGGATTTTTTTTTTCTTTTCCCTGCCATTCTTGCCCAAAATGCTGCTTCTATTTGCAGGCATCTGGGCTGTTCTGTAAAAGCTTAATGTCAAGCTCAGTAAGTCCTTTGCTGCCTTGATGTGTTAGAGCAGAGGCTTCTCTGCTGGCAGGGTTCCCAGCACTGGGCTACTCCAGTAGCTGTTGTCTGCAGCTCCTCAGGGACTTCTGGTCACTTAGAGACTGAATTTGATTTTTGAGTAGCTCCTAGGTGAGAATGGGGAATGTGCTGACTGCCCAACTCCCCCTTGTTCCCTGAACAGGGAGCAGTGGGCGTTGAATTCCTGTTGACTCATTGCAGTGGATCTGCATTGCTGAGGCTTTTTTATTTTTAGATGGATGCTCTGTAATATTTCAGCACAAGGGATGATTTACTTGTTTCCTTCCACTTCTTGTCCTTAAGTAGCTGTTCTTAGTTCTGACTATGTGTTTAAATTTGATGCTTTAAGTAATAGTCTTTTGTAAAAAAAGTGGCTGGCCAGGTTCTTGAGGGTAATAAAATGGACAACAATGTTAAGTGGCCTGCTTTCTCACTACTAGGTGAGAATTAAGAAAAATCAAAGGAAAAGGGCTAAGGAGCTAGTTCAGAAAAATGGAATATTAAAAAAAGATAAATTTTCTGAAAATATTCGTTATGGAATAGTGTAATTTGATTTAATACTACTGTAAATATTGCATGAAATAACACAGGTAGCATAACATAAATGACAAAAGATGGACCTTTTTAGTTAAAAGCTTGGAAGGAGCCTTTAATATAACAGTGGTGCATTAACAAGCCTGCTGGGGATTGTTTAATTTGCTTCCCAGTCCCTGGGGAGATGAGATTTAACTGTAAAATAAACACAGGGTAATAATAGGCTAAGTGAACCTGATGATTATCTGTTAGCAATTTTAGCTGCAGAGGTAGCAAGCCTATGCTTTTTAAAATCTTTCTGCCTGTAACCACCTCTTCTAGGTTTTTTGTTGATTGCCATTCTGTATAATATGTGGTGTGATTAGGATCTTGTGCCATGGCTGTGTTCCTGGGTTTTGCTGAAACTATACAGTATCTCTTAATGAACTGCTAAAACCCTTCCTCAGATACTGACAGTGAATGTGAGGGCTGGTGATGGTCAGACACAAATTCTCCCTTCTGAGCTATGAGACCCTGCATGGGCTCCAGCAGCCATGAGTAATTGCTGTCAGATCTCCTGTGTAAATTAGTGCAGGTTCAGTGTGGTTCATAAAAAAGGCAGTGAAGTTGCCAAAGCAGCTGACATTGACCTCACCAGCGCAGCAGAAGTGTGATGTAAGCTGGAACTTGGACTCCCTCTCCATCATCAGGTTTAATAGCCCTGTTTATTAAAGAGTGCTGAGTGGGTATGAGAAAAAACCCCAGCACTACTGCCGCTCCTGGGGCTTGCTTTAACCTGTGGTTGGGTAGGGAACTGGGTTTTGGTTTTAAAGATAACTGGGCTGTATTGTGCTTGAGAGCCCAGTAAAATAATTCCCGGCTTTAGAATAGTCAAATATCTAGAAAATATTTTCCCCTTTTCAGCACATTTACTGAAGTTCTCTAGTAGTAAATAACAGATATGCACTCAGAATATATATGCCTGTAGTATCTTATATACATACATTTTTACATTTATAAATATATAATTGAAAAACAAAAAAATTTTTTTTCTGTAATGTGCCTTTTATTGCTTAGTCAGTCAAGTAGAAGAGTTATGATTTATGCTTTCCTATCCCTACTGGCTACACTGAGAAATGGAAATAATGATGGGGCTGTGGCTCAACCATGGGATTTCATAGCAAGAATGGCTTGGCTTTTGCTCAGATTTTCTCCATGACCTCCAGAAAGTAATTTTTTTAACTTCCACTTTGTTGCATGTACAGTGTGACTGCTTGTGCAAAAGAACTGTGCTGGAATTTTTTAAGTAGGAAAATCTTTTAAAATTCCTGATTCATCCAGGCATCATGCACTGTGGTCCTCCAGAATATCTTCTGTATCCACCCTGTACAGTTTGAATTTTCACTTAAGGCCCCCGTGTATACACCCTCTCATTCCCTGTCACGACCCCTTGTCCCCCAAAAAGGAAGTATGGTGGTTGAAGCAAGGACTATTAGCTGATTGTTCATCTTCCTCCTTTTTCCCTTCCGCCCTCCCTAGGATGCAGGGGCTTTAATCCAGGATGAATGAATGCTACTATGACAAGCGCATGGACTTTTTCTACAACAGGACAAAGACGGACACAGCGGATGAGTGGACAGGACCGCAGCTCATCGGCGTTCTGTGCTTTGGCACCTTCTTCTGCATCTTCATTTTTATCTCAAATTCCTTGGTCATAGCAGCTGTGGTGAAGAACAAGAGGTTTCACTTTCCCTTTTACTATCTTCTGGCCAACCTAGCAGCTGCAGACTTTTTTGCTGGAATCGCCTACGTGTTCTTGATGTTCAACACGGGCCCGGTGTCAAAGACGCTGACAGTCAACCGCTGGTTCCTGCGCCAGGGTCTGCTGGACACCAGCCTGACGGCGTCCCTGGTGAACCTCCTGGTCATCGCCGTGGAGCGCCACATGTCCATCATGCGCATGAAGATCCACAGCAACCTCACCAAGAAGAGGGTCACCTTCCTAATCATATCCATCTGGGCCATTGCTATTTTCATGGGCGCCGTTCCGACCCTGGGGTGGAACTGCCTCTGTGACATTACTGTCTGCTCATCCCTGGCACCCATTTACAGCAGAAGTTACCTGGTGTTCTGGAGTGTCTTAAACCTGGTTGTCTTCTTCATTATGGTGGTGGTTTACATAAGAATCTACATGTACGTCCAGAGGAAAACCAACGTCTTGTCCTCACACACCAGCGGGTCCATCAGCCGGAGGAGAACCCCTGTGAAGCTGATGAAGACTGTCATGACTGTCTTAGGTAAGAGACCACAAACCATGCTGGGCAAGGCTGGCAGTGCCAGTGAATTGGTTTGTGTTGGTTTGGTTTAGTTTTTATTTGAAACAAACCAACAAAAAGCTCCACAAAAAATGGTCAGCCCTCCTAACACAAAGAAGCCTCACTGAACTTTTAAGTGCTGGAGGCATTTAGACTTCTGTGTGCTTTAGACACTGAAAGAGCTGTTGCACTATGCAGAAACATGAGACAGAGGACTGGTCAACACATAGAAGAAAAGTGTAGGTGCCTTGTTACAAAACACAAATTTTGAAGGTAAAGGTTTTTGGCTGGTTTTTTTTTTGCTTTTTTTAAGCAGGAAGATACAAAATCACTTTAGATAAAGGCACGTGAAGGTTTGTAATTACTTAGTAGAACATTTTCAAAATAATGTTTTTTAGTATTTGCGCAAGGCCATGAGCGCTAATGTTGGATGTTGATAGTTTTCTTTGCACATCTTCTTGGCTGTTTCCTGGGCATAGAAACTTCTTCCCCCTGGAAATGCACCTTCCCTAGGGAAAGGAGAGAATGGCTGGTGGGTCTGTGACTTTGATGGAGGTTTGCTTTTCAAGGGAAGGATTCACATTCATTCTGTGGATATTGCATGGTGCAAAGTACTTTTAGATAATGATGGAACAATCTAGCCTTAGATCTCTAAATCATAACATGAGATTTGCCCTGGGTTCTAGCCTAAAGGCACTGTTGAGACTTGAGCAGCTCAGATCACTTAATCAGGGAATTGTGATGTAGTGCACATTATATTAGAGATTAAAGGATCAGGTGAATGATCCTTGGAGCAAATACCAGCTGTAGCAGTCAATTTTCTCCAGAATTACTTGAATCTGAACAAGGTGTGTCCTGGAAAACAAATCTCATGCCAGCAGGGCTCCAGGTGGAGCTGGGGATACACTGAGATATTTGTGAAGCTGGGCTCAGGTGGTGGTGGACTCTAAACCCACAAATGTGGCTTTACTGCTCTAACAGCTGTTCTGAGGTTGGATGAGCCAATGTAGCAGAGCTGGAGCTTTTGGGAAAGCCAGTGGTCATGTGTACCTGGGACACAGGTGTGTCATACTGCAGCATGGTAGTATTAGAGACCTCTGGGAGAAAAGTGTAGTATTTCATGGAGGTAGGACTTGCCAGGGTAAGAAGTTCAAGTTGAGGACACTTTCTTCCCCTTGCAGTTTTTGGATGCTGTTTGCACAGTCTGGTATCTGATTTTATTGCTTTTTTATGAAATAATAGTGCTGTGCTGCATAACTCCTTTGTCTACCAAATGTCTTAAAGAGCTTCAGAAGCTGAAATCCATTAAAGTTCACAGTTCCTGACCTTGTAAAAGAAAGTATGTACAAGGTTCTCACTTATACTTCTGTGTCTTCTGGAGTTGGTTTGTCCGCTGCCAAAGCCTTTCCTTCTAAACCATCCCTCAACTCTTCTTTTTTGAGAGTCAATTTAGTGGCTGTTCCTGTCCCTCTGCCCTTGACTTGCAGGAGCAAGGTTTGATCTTTTGCCCCACCTAAGCTCCCATGCAGTGAAACCTAAACCATCCACCTGGAAGGAGAAAATCCTGCAGAAAATCTCTGACTTGCTCCAAATATGATCCTGTCCTAATGCATAGGGATGAGTAGACTGTTGTTAAGTGCTGCATTGGAAAGAGACAGAAAGCAGAGCACTTTTAAAAAGCAGTTCTCAGAGCATTTCTGCTGAAGGCAGGACTGCACCCTGCAGCCAGTGTGGGAGTTGGAGGGACAGGGGTGGTGGCTGCCATTCCCTCATCCCTCAAGGTCCTTTAGCCTGTGGCAAGCCTTCAGTGTTCTCTGTGCTGCTGTGTGGAAATAAAGCCCACTTAAAATCTCATTTTGAACTTGGTATTTCTTTTCCTAGGGAGTGAGGCCTTAGGACTATGGGTTGATCAGAAGTTCAGCATTAGCTTCCTCTTACTCACAGCATATGGCTTTTCAGCCATGAAATTGAACTATAATTCAGGCAGAACATTTAATATTATTGTGTGCTGGACTAGGCAAATTTAATTTAGCCTGAGTGCTGCTTTAGAGATCCTAATTTTATATATTTACTTTGTCAGTCAGAAACAAAACTGAAACAGAGCCTACTTCCAAAGAAGTTAAATTAGTGCTGGTGTTGCTGGGTGTACAGTCTACTTCAAGCTCATGGGTCAGAGGAAATGTATCTTGGCATGTTCCTTCATATCAGCTCTCCAAATTTTGACTCTGAGGGGCTTTTTAGAACTATTTATTTCCAAGAATGAGAATTTATTTTTTTTAACAGTTTGAAATGTGCTCTTCTGGCCAAGTCATTCAAGCACTGTGTGCAAAATGCATTAAAAACCAAATAGCTTGTTTTCTGGACTTTCCAATTACCAGGAGTCACCAAATGTGATTATTCCAAAATTCTGCTTATAACTACTGATGCAAGAGCCTACAGCTATATGCAGCACGTGGGTTTTGCCCAAAGCAGTTATTTAAAATATTTTTTTCTGAAATTTCTGAAAATCCTTCGGAGTACACACCTGATACTGTCTTAACTAAAAGCCTATTTCAAGATGCTGTGCTGGATAATGCATAATAATCTCCAATATTCTTGTTCATATGTTCTGTTGCTTTCATGGGAGATTCAGGATAAAATCCCTCTGCTCTGCTGCTGTGTGGAAGGAAGCTATGTGTGCTGGGTACTGCTGGCCTGCTGCTCCTCCCAGCTTCCTTCTGCTCCCTCCTTGGGAAGGCTGGGCTGTGCCTGGCTGCCCTTCCAGCAAAACATCCCTGTCCTCTCTGGGTGCTCCCCTCCTGTGGCCCTACAGCTGAGACTTGGGGGAATTGAGATTTTACTGTCATTTCATGGACTCCTGGTGACCACAGCTTGCGGTGGCTTCTTGCACCATCACTTAGGCCTGGAGGGTCCCTTCCAGAGGCTGGGAGTCAGGTCTGTGTCATCTGCATATTCCTGCCATAACCCCTAAAATAGTCCATCATGGCATGGGAGTAAGGCTTTCCCCTTGGCATGCTGAACCACAGGGTGTTATCTAGTTGAAACTGGAAGATGTGAAACCAGGAAAAAGGGGCTAAAATCCTCTTGGGCTGACCTTGTGGCACAATCCCAGCTCAGCCTGTGACTGCAGCTTTGAAGAAGAGTGGCTGCAGGTGTGGGTATGTGATTTTCAGGTGGTTGTGTATGTGGTAGCTCCTCTGAACCTGGCAGAGAGATTCCTGCTGAAATAGTAGCTTTGGAGGGGATGATTTTCAGTTTCAGTGAATTTATAGTTTAATTGGTAACTTGCTGTTTTAACTTGGTCGCACATGTGGCATTGGCATCTGGAACCTACTGCACTTTTTTTTCTCTCAGTGTTGGCATGCTCAGGGACAGCCTTGACGTGCAGGAGTTTATGAAATGATGCTGTTGAAGCATCAGTAGTGCTTCCAGATCCACAGGAATTAATTTTTAATCAGAGATGATGTAATCTGCAAGAAATTCCATGGTTAAATCTAATGGAAAATCCTCAAACTAACCTTGAGGCACTGTGATCTCCCATAATCTGGTGAAGAGACTCCGAGTTGTTCTAATCTATGTGGCAGTCAGGCTGTATTTCATGTCACTTTTGTGAATTTTAATGAGTCCCAGAAGTTAAATTATTTTTAGAGTGTGTCACTTCGTCAGGGAGGGGAGCTCCTATGGGATAAATATTCTGCAAACAAGAAAATTGCCGAAGGGCTGAGACTAAGGTTTATTTTTATGCTTAACCATGGCTCCCTCTGAAAGCTTGGTGGTAAAAATAACAAAATCTGAGCAAGGCTGTGAGCCTGAGGCGTGCCTCACTTTCATCTCTGTGGTGCTAAGAGCAAAAAGTGTTTTTGAAGAAGTCAAAGCACCCCCCAGAAAGCATTATCCAGGAACCTGGACACCGTCACTGCATTGCCCTGTCCTTGTTTTTGGTCATGGGAAATGTGTGGAGACATGCCTGCAGGTGCCTTTTATCTTCCCTTACTTTTGAAACCTTTTAGGGTTTTGCTTGTATAGATAGGGATACATCCTATGAGTTTGTGACTACTCCTGCCTGCAATGTTGGGTTCTGTTTGAAGGAGAGATTTCTGTGTCTTTTGTTAAATGTGCCTTTTGGGGTCTCTTTCCTCTCCTGCTGGTTTCCATACAAGCGTGGTTGCACCTTGCACTCTTTATGGTACAAGTGGTCAAAATGCTTTCAGTGCCTGTTCTAAGGAAGGTTTGGTACCATCTCAGTTTCTGCATGGAGCTGGGGGACTGGCAGCTTTGCCAATGACCCTTGTTAGTGGAAGCTCTGTGTCTGAACACTTGCTGAGACACTTAACCAGGCACAGTATTGTCTGGGTGGTTGGGTTACAGCACTTGTTAAAACTGATGGGATTTGCTGGTGAACCCCAGGACAGCAATTCTGTGCAGTGTTTTGTCCATTGTAGATGATAAGAGAGAGCTGGTGCCCTGCTCACAACTGCTTACTCAGCATGCAGGAGCCAAACCAGTGTGTAGTACAGAGACTGACCAGGGAAAATAAGTGTTGTGGTAGCAGCATGCAGCTCCCAATGCCAGTGGGCAATGGAGGAATGTTACTGATGTTAACCAGTATCTCAAAACTAACACCATGAAATTAGCACTTAGCATCACAAAAATCTTGGTACAGCAGACTAGAAAATTCAGTTTCTGAACAAAGTGGTCTCTTGCCTTTCTATTCAGGATTGCCTAGAACAGAGTAAATCAGCTGAATTTTGTCTGTAGTCCAGGAGCAAAAGGTTGCAGCAAGATCCACAATACCTTGTCCTGATACATTTTTCAGCAGCCCTAGTGCTTGCTAAATCCCACAAATCCCCTTAACATACCATTATGGCCTGCCTGTCATATGGGCATTGCCCACTCCAGTCCTTGATGGGGAGAAGTGTTGGTGCTGCTGACCCCAGCCTGTGTGTGCAGCACTGCTGGTGGGTGCCTGGCTGCTCCTGGGCACTGCCAGGCTCCCTCCCTCTGCTGGCTTCCACAGCTTGGAGATGGGAATATCTGCAGCTTTGAAAAGATGAGGTGGACTTGCTTGTTCTACCAAAATTGTTAAACAGATATCCACATCCCCAGAGAGCTTTTAGGCATGTAGATGCTGTTATTTGTTGAATTTTTTTTTCCTAAGCTCCAAAATGGGGAAGCTCTGCTGTGATAAGTGGTTGGAATTTCCTTGGTACATTGTTCAAACTATGACTGCTGGGCAGAGTTGTAATTTTCTATTTCTGTATGTCAGACAGCAATTGTGGCTTGTGCTAAGTTAGTATTATCATGCATATGGCTACTCCTTCCCTGGGCTCTGGGTGAGGGATCACGGGGTGCAGTGCAGGGGGGAGATCAAGGGGCAGACAGGGCAGTGCAGGGCCCCTCTCCAGCTTGTGGCTGAGGCTGCATTTGGTAGCAATGTTACCCCTGCTCACCCTCACTTACAGTGTGGGTGTGCAGGAACACGGGAAGGTGCAAAGGCAATATTGAACTGCCTTCTAAGCTGTGGTTTTAATGCTTTCTTTGTGCTGTACTCAGTCTAAGATCTACCTCATTCTCCCTTTAATTTTTTTTGCCTCTCACAGAGTTTTCTCTTCCCCCACACTAAGCACTTACTTCCTCATACTTTTTCTGTTTTGCTTTTGGTTTTTTTTTCCCCGCCCCTTCATTTCCCTTCACTTCACCTTCACCAATTCATCTCTTTGTTCCTCCTCTCTTTTCCTGTGTAACTAATTTTTTTTCCTGCAGCTGAATTACTGTGTCTGAGCATGCAGAGCCTGGGAGGGAGCAGTGGAAGGAGGTGAGCTCAGCTCTGACAGGGCAGCCCACAGTGCTGGTGTCTTGTAGGGAGAGGCACATCCTACACTAGCTGTGGGTTTCCCTGCCAGGACATGTGTAAATTATGTGACACCTGTCTTACTAATTGGCACTGCAGAGTCAGCTGTGGGGTGGCTTGTCTCTTTAGATCATATTATGGCAGTGGTGGAAGTGAACCACCTGATAGCTTCTCCTCCAGTAGATGAAAGAGATGAACAGAGGAAATGTGTTCCAGTGCCAGTTCTCGGCTTTTAAATGCTCCAAAGCTCTTGTTTATTTATCAGCATGGATAAATCGTTGTTGTGATGACCTTTTCCCATGTGTGTTTGAGTTGATGCTGTCAGCAGCTCAGATTCTTGCTCCCTGCAGTCTTCTGAGAGCTGCCCTGCCTCCTGCTAAGGGCTTGGCAGAGAAGCTGTAGCAGATATAATCTTGCTACTCTCATTAGAATTTTGTCCTCTCCTGCTTTTCTCACTTTTGTGTAGAATTTTGACAAAATCAATAATCTTGTAAGATATTAAACACTCCAAAACCCTAGAAGTTTGAAGTCAGATTTGGTTTTCTTTTTATTGTCTCCTATATTTCTAGGTGCCTTTGTTGTCTGCTGGACCCCTGGCCTGGTCGTCTTGTTGCTTGATGGACTGAACTGTACTGACTGTGGGATTCAGCATGTTAAAAGGTGGTTTCTTCTCCTGGCCCTGTTGAACTCTGTGATGAATCCAATAATTTATTCATACAAAGATGATGAGATGTGGGCTACCATGAAAAGGATGATTTGCTGCTCCTCTGAGGATAGGAGCCAGGAGAGACGCTCATCCCGGATCCCCTCGACAGTTCTCTGCAGGAGCACGGATATTTCGGGCCACTACATTGAAGATGGCATTATTCAAGGGACAATTTGTGGAAAAGGAGATCTTGGTGACAAAGGAAACTCCTGAGCTGTGCAAGGGACTGACTTGGCTGGAAAAGGAGAGGGGGAAGGGAGAGGTTTTGTAAGAGGAGATCGACTGGCAAAGCTGGTAAACAATATATCCACTTTGTTCCAGAGCCTCAACTCCAGTGTTAACAAAAGTTCTTATAAATAATTGCCTGATGGAAAAACACTTTGTAATGAAGAAAACTTTCTGTACTGCCATCCTTTTTGTCTTTCAAGTACATGAAATTGTTTTTTCATGTGAATGGAATAAATACCTCTCAGAGACTTCTTGTGCATGGAAACAAAGTGTAAGCAATGTAAAGAAACCCTCCTTAAGCTCCTACAGAGAGAAGAAATTTGCCTGACTCTGCAGGTTTGGGTATTTATGCTTTGAGTAGTTTCTGTGTGTCTTGAGGAGGATTGCTGGCTTGGTTGGACAGAATTGTGATCTGTTTTCTTGGTTTGTGAATTTCATGAAAAAGTTCATGCTTACCTCTTCTCTTCCTCCTCCTTATCTTGCTTTCAAAATAGGTAGTTTGATAGTTTATTAAAGCTATGCCAAAAACCTGGCTGTGATGGGAGAGCCAGACCAGGCGCCAGTGGGTGTGAGTGTCTGACCATGGGCAGTCAGGATCTGAAGGTACAGAAAGCACAAAAGCCATTATTCTTCCCCAGAGGAGTGAGTGCTGCAGGCAAAGACAGTGCACTCTCTGCTGCTGTTGTGCAGGTATTGAGGGTGGATTAACAGAAAAGCAGTGAGGCTGTGTTCATTATGCTCATTTTTCACTTCCCTAGACAACATCAAATGGGTGTGCTCGCTCCTCTTTACCTGCTGTGCCACTGAGAGAAATGAGTTCCAAAGCTCTGGTTTACAAGGGAATTTTGAAGGGAAGTTTAAATACCCACATGTCCACACCCAATCAAGCTATTTAAAATAGAAATAGAATTAATTAATTTCAGGCAAAAAAAGCCTGAAATCAATTTAAGCCCCTACCATAGTACAGTGTGCATTGATTGTCAGGCCTTGTCTGGACCATATTTAACCTCTGGTTTGCAAACAGATCTTACTTGAACAGGTACTTGAGGAAGGGGCCATGAAACAGTGAGCCATGGAGGGCTTTCAGCATTGTGACTGATCAAATCTAGTGCTGATGCAGCCACAACCCCAACAGCTGGAGTTTGACTCGTGGACTATTCTGTAACAGAGGATCCAGCAATACAGAGCTCTATGGTAAACTTCTTCTATTTAAACTTTCAAATTAAAAACTGGATTGTCATTTCTCAGTACTCTGATTGGCTGGCTCATGCTGCCTGGTTTCAACAGCAGAGAAGTCCCTGTTGCCATTTTAACTTCAAGAGGAGTTCCCTGTGTTGTCTCCTAGGGAAAGTCTGATCCCTAGTATCAAGGCAGGTTACCACAACCAGAGGTCACTTTGAAAAGTTTTGGAAGTTTTGACCACTTGGAATTATCAGAGAACAACATGAAGAGCCAACACCAAGGACATATTTTATGAAGCTGGAAGATAAAGTTCAGCTGCGGTTTGGACAAATCCTTCCTTTGGTGCCACTTGCATATGGATATCTGGACTGTGTTGGTCAAAACAGAACCAGCCCTTGGCTCAAAGGCTGAGCAGGGGGTTTGCAGAATGCCCTGGGACACTTCACAGCAGCCCTTAGCATATCTTGCAAGCACAGTGAGGCCCTGTTCAGAGAGCTCTCCCATAGCGTGCTCATCCCATCCCATCTGGTAGGGATGTGCCCAGTATTTGAGGCAGATGCTGTGTTTGAGCAACGCTAAAAATGTTTACACATTTTTTTGCTATTATAATGCAATTTTTTGTGCAAATACTACTTCACTGCTCTTGTGTTCTGAAAAGCATGTAAAGTGGTGCTTTGTAGAGACGGTGGTGTGGTGGGTTGAGCCTGGCTGGAGACCAGGTGCCTACCAAAGCTGCTCCATCACTCCTCTCCTCAGCTGGACAGGGGAGAGAAAATAAAACAAAAGGCTCATGGGTCAAGATAAGGACAGGGAGAGATTGATCACCAATTATAGACTTGACTTGGAGAAAAATTAAGTTATTACCAATCACATCAGGGTAGGATAATGGGAAATAAACCCAGATCTTAATACTTTCCTCCCATCCTCTGTTCTTTTTGGGCTTATCTTTGCTATCAGATTTTCTCTATCTCCATTCCACAGTGGTGCAGGGGGACAGGGAATGTGGTTGGTTCAGGTTGATCAGTTGTTGCCGCTCCTTCCTCCTCATCATGAGGTTTCCTCAAACTCTTCCCCTCTCCTTTATGGGGTCCCTCCCACAGGAGACAGTTCTTCTCAGATTTCTCCAAGAGGATGGGTTCCCCATGGAGTCACTAGCCAGCAAACCTGCTCCAGCATGGCCTTTCCATGCGCTCACAGCCTTCTTTGGGCATTCCCTGCTCCTGCATGGGATCCTCCACGGCTGCAGGTAGATCTTTGCTCACCGTGGGCTGCAGGGGAAGCTCAGCTCTGGTGCCTGGGGTGCCTCCTGCCCACCTTGGTGTTAGCACAGTTGTTTCTCTCACAAATTCTCACTCTCCTCTTCAGTTGCAGTTGCACAGGTTTTTTTCATCCATCTTAGATGCATTATCCCAGATCTGCTGCCACTGTTGCTGATGGACTCAGCTTTGGGCAGGGGTGGGTCTGTCTTGGAGCCAGCTGGCATTGGCTCTGGCAGACACAGGGAATTTCTGGTGTCTTCTCACCAAAGCCACCCCTGTTTCCCTGCCCCACGCCTCTAGGGAAACCTTGCCCTGCAACGCCAGCCCAGAGGGCCTTGCCAAGGCCCAGCAGCAGGCAAGGCCCAGCCCTGTCCCTACATCCCTACAGCTACTGCAGTGCACAGTTGGTCTGAGCTAGGCTGAAGCTCTGTATGCAAACCTAATAGAAAATAAAATGGAACTTCAAAATGTAAGTCTTGTTTTGCCTCCTGTTTGAATGGTGGTGGAACAACGATGGGGAAATGTTCTTTGATGTTACTGTGGCTCCAGGGTGGGGGTTGTTTTAATAAAATTTTCCTATTTACTAGCAGTGCTGGCCAATGTATTGCTTGGTTGAATCAGGCCCTGAAGAGAGCTTGGATGAAGATCTTGAGCATCTGCAGCAGGGGAAAAAACATTAGGTCTCTCCTGCAGAACTTGGGATTTAGGATGCAAAATAACTACCTGTGGATGATATTTCCAGGTAAGCAGGACAAGGTGACTTCTGTGAAGGTAAAGGACTTAGTGTTTTTTTACAGCACTTCATCCAGTGGACTCTCATCTGGGTTAAGGTCTGAGAGGTGTTACCAATCATTCAGCTACAAGTAAGTAGGAGAGTTTGAGGTCTCTATCCTTTCTGTTGTCTGATTAAGGAGAAAAAAAAAAGAAAAAAAACCCCAAAAGCCTGCCAATGGGTGCTTGGAGAATGGTAGTATTTGCAGTGACGTGCCCTTTGTGGCTGCAGAATGCTTTCCTTGGAGCTGCTACATTCATGGACTACTGCTATAAATTGCAATGTGACATGAGTGGAAAAGGAAACTGATGTTGCATCAAACTTTCCTATGAACTGCTACAGCACAGGCTGTGTAATGTTTCCAATATCAAACTGTCTAAACATCTACCTACTCACAGAGCAGGGAATTCCTTATTAACTCCATAAACATTTGTCAGAATAGTTTGTCTCAAGGAAACCATTAAAGCACTATTTACGCTTGAGTAGGAAAAAAAAATAATTAAAAGAACGAAGGGCAGTCGGTGAAGGCAAGTTCTGCAGGGTTCCTTTGTTCCCTTTTCCACTAATATCCCCAAATATCTGGATCACTTGACTTGGCATGTGCCTGCTCCTAATTGTGTAAGAACATTATGCTGGGGAAGGCTTTAGGGTGAACACTCACAGAAACCCCAGGACATTAGTTCATGGGAGGCAGAGGAAGAAAAGGGAAGAATTACCATTAAGTCAGATAGTTACGAGATTCTGCATGTTCCTGGTGGTGCTGGAGGTCTTTCTGCTTTTGAGAGCTGCTGTAGTTCAGGAAGTAGCAAGCAGATCCTTCTAAAACACCATTTTCATAGCAATTATGGTTTGAAAACCTTTGTGATAGTCTCCTCTTCTTTTCTCTCTCCAGCTGCTCCCAAACCAAAGTTGCTTTTCCAGTTGATCATAGGGTCCAGGAAGAAATGCTCCATGGCTTTTCCCAGGGCGAAGATGTATGGTCTGTCCTCTGTGATTTGCTCTCCCATAAAGCCTGTGTGGTCATGATCATTAGAGATGCTTTTCAGAGAACTGTTATTAAAAGCTGGGAACAATGAGGTTTTATTTTACACGCTAGATCTTTTGGATCTTTCTGGATAAGCAGCTAGACTGATCCTTGTTTAATAGCTGTGTGCGTGGGAGAGAAGTTTCCCTGATATCTGTGCTGTCAGTCTGACCTAGGTGGTGTGGGTGATGAGTCCCTCTGGGACAGCAGCCAGATTGCTAAAGCTTGAGTGCCTCTAGAGCACGACCCTTCCACTACTTCAGGGCTGCTCTGCCATGACTATGTTTCCCTCTGTATAGGTTTTTTCGTGAGCTTTTATTTTCAGTAATTCCTGTAGACTGGTGAAATACATCTGTATTTGTGTATATGACAGCTTGTGTATGTATTTGAACTGCAATAATTACTGCAGCTCTATGATGGTGCCTTTCTCTGATCAGATCTTTATTTTATACATATTTATATATATTTTTCCCTTAAAGTCTCTTCCAAGTAGCAGTGAACTATAGGAGCAATACTTCTGATATGATTCTTTCACAGTTTTAGTGAGCTCTGAAGATACATGAAGATTCTAAACTACTGGTTAATGGAAGATGACAGAGGAAGGGTCCTTTTAAGCTTGACATATTTCTTATGCTTTTTCCCTATGATTCTGACTACAGGTCACCATCCAAGCAGATGCAGGGCAGGATCAGCCTTCGGTCCTGCCCAAAGCAATCGCTGCTTGCAAGACTAGAGCCAAAAAAAGAAA